AATAAATTTCTCTTGTTTATAAGCCACCCAGTCTATGGTATGGGTTATAGTAACCCAAATGGATTAAGACAACACCCATCCGCAAAAGCAAAAAAAGCTCTGCATTATTTTTTTTTCCAGTAAGCTCTACTTCCAATGTGGGGCTTGAACTCATGACACCAAGATCAAGAGTCACATGCTCCTCTGACTGAGCCAGCCAGGTGCCCCCTCAAAGCTCTGCATTAGTTGAAGTTCAGTTCAAAGTCAGTTCAAGCTTAACATTACAGAATTCAAGAACAAGGATATTAACAGGGCTAAAAAAAAAAAAAAAGTGTAGTGCACCAAAAACCAAAAAAATTATAAGCACTTGGAGAAGGACAGCCATTAGTTGCTGGAGGTAACCAACAATGCTTCTCTTCTTAAATTACTTTTAAATCACTTTCAAACCATGGATGATAACTGGTATTTTTAAATAATTTTTTTCAAGGAAAAAAAACTTCTTATAAAATTGAGGGGGCGTTTATAGTTTGAGGATCTTGATAAGGCTGTGTTGTAGAACTGAAATTTGCTAAGAGAGTAGAACTCACGTATTCTCAACAACAACAAAAAGTAATTATGTGAGGTGATGGATGTGTTCATTACCTCAATGGTGGGATAGTGGGAATCCTTCTGCAACTTAGGTTCTATCAATCATGCTGTACAATTTAATCTAATTCCATTTGTCAATTATACCTTAATAAAGCTGGAAAATACTTCGAATCATTTTAAAAACAAAAAGATATTTGAAGGAGCATTTATGTAGTAGTCCATCTTCAACAGCCACAATAATACAGATAACCTATTTGAATTTCAGAAAACAAGATGCAGTGTTGGTGAGGGGGACTTCTATCCCAGTCACATCTAATTTACCAACCAAACAAGACCCACAGCCAACCTCACACTGACAGACATGTTGGTGTACGATTTCTTGCTTCAACCTATGTTTATCAGGTCCTTGACTCTATACCTTATGAGGTTGATATTAAAAGATATGGGTAGCCACATATATGACTTATGAAGCACTGGTGTTTGTCACTGTGTTCCCAATCTTCTTAGATGTTTTCTTCACCATGCCAAATGGAATGAAAATTACAATTCTTGGTAAGTGAGATGCAAATAATTTAAGTCCCTACCTTCTGACTGTTTTTCTAGTTTATTAGGAAGTTTCTGATCAAAGCATTAAAACTGACTCACAGTATTTCCTCAGAAACCTCAGGATGATTAAGAAGCAACTTCATTTAGAAGTTAATGGGTAAATTGCACACTTCAATTGTGTGAACTGTATATCTCAATAACACCTTTTTAAAAAAGTTAATGGAATTTCCATCGTGCTGTCATATTGGTTTCATTAATTTAGTCAAATACAACAAGGGAAAAATAAGCACCTCAGTGTTTATTACATTACTGCTCAGAGCACTAAAACCTCACTGAAATATTAATCTAGTTCATATTTGCAGCAGGAATTTTGAGGACTAAATTTATAATCAAACCTTCTGATTTTTTTCCCCTGAAAATCTTTTGCTAATCATTTGACAACTTATACAAGTAGTTTGAGCCACAAATTTTGCTTTCTCAGAGAAAAAAAGAAAGATCTCTACCTCCCCCAGCAGAGAGAACTACAAAGGACATAACAAAAGTTTCCCTGAACAAACATTATTCAAAAAACCAAAAGACCAACCACAGCAGAAATTCTTAAACAAACAACAGAGATAGCAGCATAGAACAAACAGCTAAAAGCTATTGTGAGGGTCAACACACAACCAATAGCTTTCGGTTTATATAAACTTGGGCTCTTAAATCCTAGATAAGGCTCAAACTGCGAACTGCATGCGAAAGACTTCCCACTTGTCAAGGTAAGGTTACCTCTAAGGCAAGTTAAGAAGCAAATTTCTATATAACATTAGTATGAATACAAATACATTGTTTTATTTTTTTAAGAACAAAATTATTTTCCACTTAAATGCTATTCATCTTGACACAGAAGATGTATAACTATTGTCTCCAGGCTGAAATGCTTTCCATGGGAGCAAACACATCAATTTTTTTTCTAGTCGATGAAAGACTTTGATCTAAGTTGCAGAAAATCACTCATGACTAACTTCAATTTGTAATTTGGTGCTTAAACAAATCCAAAAAGTGTTTTTCAAAATGGCACACAGAACAAATGTTTTACCAAGTTTCTCTCATATTTCTTCTACTTAAATTCACAATTAATTTTTTAAACTCACAGTGCATTATGACAGTAATACAAGCAAATTCTTAAGTAACTATTTAGGAATCAGTAAAATCCATCCTTCCACAAAGGGATGAAATAAATGAATAATTTTAATGCAAAATTAACTGTCTTCATTTCATTTGAGATAGAATGTGGAAAACGGTCATCTCAAAATGTTAGGAAATACTTTTGAAAAATAAAGATTTTTCTATTTTAATTTCAGGAGTAAAATAGGCTAATTGATGTCATATGCTTAACTTTGACTTTAATTAATGATAATAAAAGTTACCAAGTGTACTATCCCAGGGAAAACACCATAATAGTAGCTATTGACTATTTCATTTACATTTTAGTTTACTATTTCATTTACAAACTAAAGTAGGAGTTAAAGAAAATGTCAAATATGTACAGAATAACACATATCCATTCAATGTCTGAATACCATCCACATGTGAGATGCTGTCCGTACATTATTCCATTTATAAACACACATGTGTTTAATTAGTACATACCACAAGTAGACAGGTGCTTAACACATGCACTTAATGGTAGCCTGGTAGTTACAGATAATGTGGTTAACTTCAGCAGACATCTGTGTTACACATATGGTCATCAAAATAATTGTGGCATGCTTTTTTGACACTGAAAGAGGCCAAGCCAGTTGCAAACTGATTACTTCCAACAAAACCCTGCTTAAATTATTGTTTAGTTAAATGGCACATATCCAAAATAAGAGCATTATAAAGTTGCTACTGCCTTTGAATCACTCACCAATTTTCAACATATTTGTAAAACAAGATAAGCACCATCAGGTTATAAAAAGTAATTATGGATTAGGATTTTTTATTCATGTTTCTTTGACAAAATTATTCCATTTGATCCCAAGTCTTGGCTGCTCTCTTAACAGAATGTACATGCTCCACAGCTGACAGGGGTATGGCTTTTGTGATTAAATAGGAAGCTCACACTCCAGATGACTTTAGACTGTGCACTTCAGAAAGATTTTTGTTGTTTTAGTATCAGATCATCCGTTATCTTTTTCTAATTGTTTCTTTCCCCCAAGCTAAAGAGAATCTATGTATTATCAAAAATTTATGATGTTTTGTGATTTTTGCCTATTTGCACAGTACACCAAAGAATGCTACATCCTCTTGAAAAGTTCTTTTCCTGATTTCATGGCGGGGGGAGGGGGGGGAGCGGGGTGTGGAACATAAAGAAAAGCTGGAAATATAAAATATGAAACAACCTTTTCCAGGAGTTTTTTTTTTTAAGATTTTATTTTATTCATTTGAGACACAGAGATACAGAGAGAGAGAGAGCATGAGCAGGGGGAGAGGGAGAAGCAGACTCCCCGCTGAGCCAGGAGCCCAATGTGGGGGCTCGATCCCAGGACCCAGGATCATGACCTGAGCCGAAGGCAGACGCTTAACCATCTGAGCCGCCCAGGAGGCCCTCCAGGAGTCGTTTATTGGCCTTGAAGGGAAACACCAAATGAGAATCTGATTGACTTTTGCGTTTTATAATTCCTGGGAAACAATGTTCAAAACAATTTCCCGAAGAAAGGGTTAACTTTATCTTGTGGTTTTAACTGATCATTTTTACCCCCATCTCCTGCTTAAGATTGACACCTGTGAAATGAGAATTCTGTACACCAGGAATGGTGACATCAAAGCTTCAGCTTTTGGCCAGGAACAGTTACTTCAGTGTACATAATAAAGCTGTGTAAAAACTGATTCACACAAGGAAATGCCCAGGGCCTACGCCATTGGGATTAACTTCTGCCATACAAGACTAGGACACCGGCAGCCTGAACTTGGTTCTCAGACCGCCAGCTCTACGGAGATGGAGGGTGGGGGGCAATAGTGGGAAGGAGGAGCGGTAGCCCTTCACTGGACTCAGCTGCTCAGGTTATTTAAAATGCTCCGGTGATTTAAATATGCAGAAAACGAAACAAAACAAAACGTTCGGAATTCGGATCATCTTTAGGTAGTTACGTTGTTAGCAAGAGCAAAACAAGCGCGCAGGCGCGTCCGTCAGGTTGTCAACCATAAACATAAGAACTCATCAAAATTAAGGAAGTGGATCTCTGCAATCTCCCACAGCCTTTTGGTTTAGGTTCTCTAGGTTAATAGCAGTATTTGCATTTTAATGGCCTACAAACAGGCGCAAAGTTATTTACCGAGTCGCTTTGAGAGATGTTTACTTAAACGTGGGGATAAAATCAGTTCGCTTGTAGAACTGGAAATTATTTTCCGTCCAAACGTAGCATTACCCAACTACAAACCCAGGCAACACAATCACAGTCACCCAGTAAATGTGTTTCAGCGAGTGAACTATATGTTACTTCCCCAATGACACTAACAGAAAAAATCCTTCAACAAAGCCAAAGGAAATCGTGCCTTCAACACTGTATGCAGCCTGTATATTCAATTCTGTGCCTCTCTGGAGCTGCGGGGGCCTTAGATGCTTTCGGAGGAAACCGGTGCTGGGAAGTTTTGGTCTCAGTTGCAGGACTGTGGGCTGCAGCTGAGAGTGGATGGGCGGACTACCCTTCGAGACAAGAAACTTACTTCCCTTTATAAAGGGATTCAAAGTGAATCCACCCGGACCCGTCCACAGTACCTGAGTGCGGGGCAGCCGCGGCTCCTTCCCAGCGCGCAGAGAGCAGTGGCCGGCCGAGACCCGTGACAGCCCTCAGACAAAGCCTCGGACCCCCGAGCCTGACCGGCTGCAGACCCCCCGGGACACGCCCCCGGCCCGCGCCTACCTTGATGCCCTGCTGCTGGGTGGTGAGGGTTAACTTGGATTCATTCAGAAGCAAAACTTCGCAGTAAAATTCTTCCGGAACAGCGCAGAAGCAGCCCATGTCGGCTGTGGCCGTCTCCAGCCAGGAGGGAAAGCTGCGACCAAGGCGCCGAGCCGCCCCCTCCCCTCAAGCGCGAGGCATTAATTTACTGTCCGCGCGGCGGGCAGGGCGAGAGGAGCGGTTCCCGGTGGGGTCCAGGGCCACGCGGACGAGCCGCCCGGCGCCAGCTGGAGGTAAGGAGCGCGGAGAAGCCGGGGGAGTCAGCGCCCGGGAGCCGCCGGGGAAGCGCCGGCGGAACTGAGCGCGGAGGGCGGCGGCGCGTCCCCGCGCATCCCGCGGCTCGGGCTCCTCCGAAGGCGGGGGCGCCGCGGCCCCTCCCGCAGTCCTGGGGACGACAAAAGTCGCCTGGCAATGGGGGCAAGAAACAGGAAAAGGGAGGGACGCGAGCTCCAGGCCCTCCCCAGGCGAGGAAACCCCTGGGCGCTGTGCAGCCCCCTCCGCCTGCGCCCGCCCAGAGCGCGGCCGCTACACCCGGCCTCCCTTCCCGGCGGAGTCCCCGGAGGGCTCCCACTTCCAGCCCCGACCCCACCCCGCAGCCGATTGGGGAACACTCGGCTGTTCCTTTGTGTCAGGGGTACCCACGACGTCCCAGTCCCACTGCAGGGCCAGTGGCCAGGGTCGTCACTCAGCTACCTCCGCCACCCCATCCCGCGGGCACCCAGAAGCCCGAAGAGTGTCGGAAAGGGCAGCGGGCTCCTTACCGACACTGGCGAGTGCAAGTCAGCTCTTGGTGGGGCGCGGCTCCCGTTTGGAGACCCTGGAACTCATCATGGGGGACTGTGTGTGGCCAAGTTCAAGCTCGCTCTCCGAGAACGCCTTGCTGTGGCGGCGGAGCGCTGCTCCTCCGGGAGATTCTGAGAAGCGGGGAGTCAGAGAGCTTGCGGGCGCGCCGGCCGGCGGAGAAGCGGGAGCCCAAGCTGGGAATGCGCCGGCGGGCGGATGGGGGTGTGCCCTGCGCGTGCAGGCCGCGGCGGCTCCCGGGAAAGTTCTCCAGGCGGCGCGAGGGGTGGCGCCCCGGGCGGGAGCAGTCCAGGTGCAGCTAGGCTGGGCCCCGGCGTCAGCAGAGAGCCCCGGAGCGGAGCGGGGGCCCAGAGGCCGGGAAGGGGCGCCCCTTCCGGGCGGGGTCCCGGCTAAGGGCGGAAGACGGAGCGGAGGTGGTCGAACGGCGAGGTGCGAGCAGGTCCGCACGGGAACCCGCGCGCTGCACCCTGGCCGCCTGGCTGTCCCGAGCCCTGGCCCTGCTTGCCGTGTCCGTTTCCCGGGGAGACCGGAGGCTGGCTCCAGGAAGGCAGGGCGCAGTTCTGCTCGGACCCTGGCGTTCGGCGCTCCCAGTCCCACGCCCTCAGCGCGACGGGCTGTGTCCAGGACTGGCGGGCACAATAGTTCTGAGGCTGCAGTGACCCCTGGTGGGTCCTCGTGTCCGTGCACAAGCGGCAGAGGCTGAGCGCCGGATGAGGCCGGGCTCCCTGGCCTTCGGAGCAGGTGCAGTTTGTGCACTCCAGCTGCGAACCAGCAGCGAGTTAATGCAAGTGGAAGTTAGAGCTGACACGGGGAGGACGTGGGGCAGGGTTGACGGTAGGCCAGACAGAAAACCTCTCTACTTCATATTGAGTATCAGAAAGAGCAAGAGCTTTGGCATCTCATAGTTCTGAGTTTCCTCTTCTACCACTTATAAGCTAGGTAGTCAAAACTCACAAAATTTGCTTAAAACCTTAAAAAATTTTTAAAGAAAAAAAAATACTGGCATCCGCCACACAGTAGAATGGAAATGAACAATTTACAACTTTGGAGGGAGTTTCCTTCCATAGTCATTTGCCAGGAAGGACCTTCTAAGACGCTGCCTTTCCTGTTATCTCAGGCCCATCTAAACGTGAATTAGCACAGTCCCCAAAGTGCAATAGATATAAACCCTCATGTTTAGTATGAACTTTACCTAAAGCTAAGAATCACACCCTATTGTATCTTCCAAGGCTTCCCTGAGATTGAAGCAGGTTTTGAATTCCTAATCAAATTCTGTGTCCAACTTTGGGTTGTGTTGTCAATGTTTTGCCTGACATGAGCTGACACATTCTGGATTTTAACGTCTTTACTTCTGGAAGCTTTTCTGTAACAATGTTTCTGACATAAATTACCAAATGTGATTGAAAGGCTTCATAACAGGTTTTCATTCTTTACCACTATATGTAATAGGATCACCTGTGCTTGCAAAAACAAAAGGTAAAATGCAAGTGTAATCATTTCTTTCCCAGTTTTGTTTCACTGACACTTGTTTTATGTCCTTTGACTTTGTTTTGTTTTGTTTTTGTTTTACCTCCAATGGTAATGAAAAGGCTGAGGGTTTGGAGTGGGGGCAAGGATTCTGTTCCAGGTCCCTCACAAGGGAAAGTACAAAGCCAAGAATTCCCATACCTATGACAGCCATTTCTCAGTGAAGCATTTTCTTTTCCATTTCTTTGTCAGAGATTGGAGAAAAGAACAAAAAAAAGTCTATTTAACACAAAATTGGAGTTTCCTAGAGATAATAGGAAGATTCCACAGGCTGTTGGGGTTTTTTTAAACACCTTATTGAACTATAATTGGCATACAGTAAACTGGATATATTTAAAGCCTATAGTTTGATAAGTTTGACATACGGATCCATGAAACCACGACTACAATCAAGCTAATAATTGTATTCATCACCCCCTAAAGTTTCCTCCTGTACCTTTGTAGTTCTTCCTTCTCTTTCCTCACCACACCTCATCTCCCATGCAACCACACATCTGCTGTCTCTATAGATTATCTACATTTCCTAGACTTTAATAGAAATGGCATAATAGTGACAACTCTTTTTTTCTTGGTCTGGTCTGTATCACGTAGCATAACTGAGATTTGCTCATATTGTTGTATATACCAACAGTCCATTCACTTGTATTGCTCAGTAGTATTCCTTAATATGTGTATACCACAACTTATTTATCCATTCATTTGTGTGCTTTCCAGTTTTTTACTGTTACAAATAATACAAATATTACAAATCCCACTATGAGGACTGTACAAGTCAGCTCAGGCCGCCATAACAAAATGCCACAGACTGGGTGGCTTACACAACAGACACGTCTTTTCTCATAGTTCTGGAAGCTGGCAGTCCAAGATCAGAGTGCTAGCATGGTTGCTTTCTGGTAAAACCTTTCTTCCTGGCTTATAGATGCCTGCCATCCCACTGTGGCTCACGTGACCTCCTCTTTACTGGGAGGCGTGGGAATTAGCACAAGCCCTACAGAGTAAGGACACTAAACCTATCGTATCAAGGCCCCACCCATCTGACCTCTTTTAACCTTAATTACCTCATGATAGGCCCCATCCAAATAGAGTCACATTGGGGGTCAGAGCTTCAGCATATAAATTTGGAGTGACACAGTGCAGACCATAGCAAGGATCCATGTCTTTGTATGGACATGTGCTTGTATTTCTTTTGAAATTTAAAAAAAAATGGAATAATTGATTGGATCATAGATAGATAAATGGCAAATGAGCATTTGAAAAGATGTTCAACATCATTAGTCATTAGGGAAATGCAAAATAAAATCACCATGAGATACCACTACAGACCTGATAGGATGGCTACCATACCACCATACCAAGTGTCGGCAAGGATGTGGAACAGTCTGAATTCTCATATGCTGCTGGTACAGATGTGAGACAGTACTCTAGATAACACTATGACGGTTTCTTTAAAAGCTGCACATATACCCTCCACAGGATTTTGGAGGAAGACTTTCTCTGCCTATCCGGAGAAAGAAATTAACAAGATACTATTCAAACACATTTTCCCCCCAGGAAAATAGTACCGTTTTCAACATGTGCATAACATAATACAGTCTATTTAAAGCTTTGTGCCAAAGCCTTTGATCTCTTTTCAGAGATTTTTAGAAAAATACTTCCTTTGGTCAAGATGACATTTTGTCATAATAGGCCTATGTAGATGTGTCAAATGACAAGTTCATAGCAGATATAATATTATGGAAATATGTAGACCATCTGTGAAGGACTGCTTGAACCCCCATCCTGGAAGAAGCAATTTCGGTCTACATAGAGCAGCACCCCCCGCCCTTGCTGAAATGTGCACTTCAAAATGCCAGACAGAATTCTTTTTAAAGCACCGTGTTCTTTTTCGGAAGATGTCTTTAAACATCCATGTCTTTTGTCATCGTTTTATAATTTTACATTTTCCAAACTTCAGGAAGTTGACTGTAATTTGCAAAAAGAAAGAACACCTTAAAAACAGTAAATAATTTAATTATTTAACTACCCAGAGGCAGTGCAGCAGAATCACCAGGAAGACTTGTTAAAACACAGATTGCTGGCTCCACCCCCAGAGTTTCAAATTCAGTACATCTGAAGTGGAGCCTGAAATTTTGCATTTTTAACAGATTCCCAGGTGAAGCTTATGCTGCTGGTTTGAGAACCACTGCTTTAGAGCTTATCCTTCCAATAAATAATAAACGTTGGTCCTGATTACCTATAAATAATTTTTTCCAAGGGGAGTGGCTCATTCTTTACTTCCCTATTATTCTATCTCATCCATCAAAATCATGCCTATCAAGGAAGAGTATTGAAGACCCTGCCAAGTCAGAAAGAGTCATTTTTAAGGAAGATAAATATCCCTGTTTTAGTTTCAACATACTACTGCCTATTCTATTCAAACACCTTATGCATTTTTCTTTCTAATATAGTATGTGCTCAGGCACATCCAGTTTTTAAGACCATCCTGTCTTCTGACTCACTTCATATATATGTCATTAACCAGCTATTCTCCTCTACTGAAGCCTTAGATCTCATTTACTGAAATGCCTCAAGGGTGTTACCCACATTTCAAGAGAAGACATCTCCTAAGACAACAATCTAAGCTATTTCTTCATCTTTGTGATCTCCATATAAATGTTCTTTGGGGTTTACTGAAAATCCTTATTTTTGCAGTTTTAATCCTTGTTGGTGATGTGTTGATATGGTTTGTATTTAGTTTAAATGGTTTGGAACTTTCACTTTGAAATACCCTAGTTCCCCCTTCACTGTTCATATGTATACTATCAAAAAAAAAAAAAAAACAGCAGAGCTAGTTGATAAGTCTAGTCCCTTTGGGGACTTTTTTTTTTTTTAAACAACTGATTAACATCTTTGCCTATTGGATTGAGAGATTCCAAAGATGGACAAGAATGGGTAAAAGGGGTACTTTGATACATTGTTGTTGGAGTTGTGAATTGATTCAGGCTCTCTGGAATGCAATCTGTCATAAATACAGTATTTTAAATACTGAGATTTAAATATTAAGTAATTTAAATATTAAAATTTATCTTCATCAAATAACAGACACAGATATATGAAGAAAGATATTTACTACAGCATGTTTGTAATATTAAAGCTCTCAACAATTCACATGCTCAGTAATAGGGAGTTCTTATGTTAATTCTAGCATATGCATGTAATAGAATTCCCAGCAGCTGTTAGAAGAGATGAGATGAATGTAAATGCACTGACATGCAAAGTTAACCAGGTAAGCAGTGAGGCAAAAAAGAACAGCTTATATAATAGTGCATATAGAAAGGTCCATTTTGGTGTGTTTTTAAACAAAGTTTGGGTTTTTTTTACAACGAACGTGAATTAATTTAAATGAAAATAGATTTTTAAAAAAAAAAAAGCCTGATGGGGGACTTGATCCCAGGACCCTGGGATCATGACCTGAGCCGAAGGCAGACGCTTAACAACTGAGCCACCCAGGTGCCCTGAAAATAGATTTTTTTATATTAAACAAAAGAACGTCATTAGTGGTTAACAAAATTAACCTTCATTTAAAAATGAACTACTTTCCTAGGTTCTAACCTGGACTCTAAAGACTATTTTACCTGGTTCATGTATTCTGTTCATACCCTGAATAAAGCATATCAACTTAATTTTACTAATATCAATTTATTAATCCACCTATAGAAATTTGAGGAAGGGATGAGGAAATTAGCTTTTAGTTATCCTGCAGTTATTTTGATTGTAGGTCAAACTAGCCATGTAACCTTAAAGAAGTCCCATCTGTGCCTCAGAATGTTCTTCTATAAAGTAAGTGACGTGGGACTTGTATTCTGGTGCTTCTGGATCTTCATGCCCAGCATGCTGCTTTCCCATCCCTTTCCTCTGGAAATAACAAATTGCTCTTCCTGTAAGAGTGGCATTACAGGAAAGGAACAAACCAGTATAACATCTGGCAAAAAAAACATCTGAAGAAGTTGAGCTCCAAGCTCAATGTCTAGCCTTCTGATTCTAAAATCAAGAAGTTGCCAAGAAAAACTGAAAACAGTCATTCACTCCAGGGAGGTAACACAGATGGTTGGCTGGAA